GAGTTCAGTTGTTTAATAATGAACTCAAACTGTCTGTTCATTTAGCTGACTTACTGGAGTTCAGTTGTTTAATAATGAACTCAAACTGTCTGTTCATTTAGCTGACTTACTGGAGTTCAGTTGTTTAATAATGAACTCAAACTGTCTGTTCATCTCCTGTTGACCATCCTTCATAAAACACTTCAGAATCTCCTCCATGCCCTGAAAAGTTAGAGGATAAAAATGTCAGGTGAATATCCTTGAAACAATGTGATCAGACCCAGTTTCACAAAAAAAAAAAAAAGTCAGTTCCCTTGTAAGGGACATATGCATGTGTCCATGGTAGTGCTGTAACACTGTTCTTGATAGGGTAAGATGTGTACATGTAGCCATGAGGGTGCTATAACACTGTTATTGATAGGGTAACGTGTGTACATGTGACAACGTTGGTAACAAAGATTTCAGCCACTGGAACTGACTAAACTTTTTTGGTGATACTGGGACCAGCTTACCTTCCTCCTTACCCCACAGAACTAATTCTAAATCAATTGATAAAGATAAGAAAGTTGCCAGCCTGAGGTACTTAGTCTTTAGGAATCTATTCAAATCTGAAACATCTTAATAATATTTCCAAAATCGACTTCTTGGCAGAGGTAATTCTGTACATGGCATCGAGGGCAAGATAATAGTCCAAAGATTCAGTAGTCCTTAAGTTCAATAGTCCAAAGGTTCATCAGTCCCAGAGTTCACTAATATATAAAACCTTAGGACCAACAAACCCTTTTATTCAAAAACTGATAAAATGTTTTTTTTCTGGACCAATGAACCTTCTCACCAACAAATCTTAGGACTGTCAAGGCGCACTCCATGCATCAAACATGAAGGAGCAGGTATATACACATAAATACATATACTATAACACATAAATTATATGATGAGAGAACACAAACCATGGCCTTGGCCTCCTCTCGTATGGAAGGTATGGCCAGAATACTGTACAGGGCACCATTGACGTAGGGACGGATTTCATGGTTCTCGTGACCCAGGAGGTCACTTAGGACCTGAAGAGTTCGGTGAGGTGCCTCTGCACACTTCTTCTTGCCTGAATGAAAAAAATATCAGTCAAATAAATTTTAATTAGTGATTTCTAAACTAAGACATGCCAATAAAAGAAAATAATCAATTTTCACCCAAAGCTCCCCTAATTGGCCTAAAGGTTTCTTATTGCCAGCTAAGTGCTTTAAAAATAAAAATGTAAACTTGAAAATTACCAGTCATTCGGACTGGATTGTCTGCAATATGAAGTTATAAGAGATGTGTGTTGAATTTGAAATATTATCATATTTAAGTTGGGTCTTTGCTGCAAAACACTTTGGAAATATATGAAAATCTTGTTGGTGTGCGTGCCATTTCATGACCAAATGGTGCCAATTAGTGTGTGTGTGTATGAGAAAGAGAGACGAGAGAGAGGGAGAGCATATAAGTGCCTGTGTGTGCCTGTGTGTGAGAGAGAGAGAGAGAGAGAGAGAGAGAGAGAGAGAGAGACTTGATTGCCCACCTGCAGTTCTGAGACACAGGTTCATCAGCAGAGCTATGGAGTACTCTAGTGTGTAGTCAGACAGGGAATCATTGTCCTCTAGTACTTGTACCAGCCACTGCAGTAACCCCTCGTCTATCATCACAGACTGTAGCTGACGTCTGAAACACAACACACAGTCAGTTAACACACAACATTTCTGTACCTGGCTCTCATCGTCAACTCTGCTCATTTTAAGCAGATAACTTACACTTCCTCTCCTTCTCTCTCTCTCTCTTTATAACACACACACACACACGCCTATTTAAATGTGGGCAACTGCCTTGTTTTAGAAAATGTTTTAAGTCAATACTTAATACTTCAAAGTTTTAGAGGACCACTGCAGATTTATCTTGGTCTGTGGCAGACTAAATGTTTACACAGTTTTAATTATGTAGAGTAAATTAAACATCAATAAACTCTCAAACATCTTACCCATATTAGACATTCTAAAACCCATGGTTATGATTTGTAATTTTTTATCAAATTGATACTGTAGTTTACTTCATCAGTTTTTGAAATTATTTATTGTCAGAGGTTGGCCTGCTAAATGCCAGTTTAAATGAATAATTTATTACATGATCTATATAGCATGTACCTGAGTGTTATGAGGAACAACTAAGTGCCATGCAAGCATTTTAAAAATGTGTCCCCAAACCACTAACATCAATATTTAAGTTAATTGATAGAAAGTGCAAGATAATTACAATATGTAAAATAACAGTAAGAAATCACCGAATTAATGTACATGTTATTGTTTATATAATACTATAATACATGTACTTGGAGGCCATATTATAAATATCTATGCCTAGTTTTAAATCACATCTGACCAATTTTATTTCAATAAAAAATACTTTACCATTAAACTGCATGCAGACGTACAATTTACAACACAGATTTATAAGAATGCCACAAGGGCAGTATGTGACTGATGTGGTATTGTTTGGAATGTTTGGCACAACAGTAACATATCTTACCCTTGAGCTTCAACCACATAAAATGTACATGCACATTGATAAAGCTAAATAATATACTGAACACAACACAACTATGATGTTATCTTTATACTTTAGTCTTGTCTATATCCAAAAATATCCTTGACAGAATTAGAGATAATACAAATTTTGGCAATCATCAAAAAATGCTCCTTGAAAGAGTATTATTTGGTTTGTTTCTTTATTGATTACTTACTAACATTCCATTGTGGACCAATACAATGTATACAGTAAACAAAATGTTTCCTCGCTCTTTGTAATATCAATGTCAATTTACTCATTTCAACACAAAGACACAAAGAATCTAGAACTTAGCACATGGATCATTGTAACTTTAGTAAATACTTACGACAAACTGCTGGAAAAAACAAGTAATAACTTTTTATCTTTATCTAGATGGATAGTTTGTAAGGGTGATACCCCCCTCCGCCCAAAAAAGTATAAAACTAATGACAAAACGATCGCTTCATAAAAAAATAAATAATAAATAAATAAATAAAGTAAAAAGAAAAGGTTGGGATCAGCCATCACTGTAAAATCAAATCACAACATAATACCATCAACTGTACACACCTTTGCTGAATATCAGTATACATCTGCCCCAAATAACTGAAGCAACTTACCCTTGCTGAAAGAGATACAGCTGAATTCTTGGTACTAAAACATCTGTTTCAGTGAAAGCCCTAGTTTCTCAAAAACTCTCAGGTCAACCTTTACCTCACATAGTTTCTGTAAAGCTTGCAGAACATTTCAAGGTCAACATCATCCTTACCTGACTAAGTCCCCGTTCCCATACCTAGATTGATCTAGCAGGATGGGCCCATCTCCATGGGATTTTCGCTAAATTGCACTCAGCTTAAGTGGCTTAGATGACTGGCACGCCTACTGAAGCTGCTAAACGATAGTTAATTACCTCCTAACAGCTACAGTGGGCATGATAGACATCAGAGCCACTTAAGCTGAATGCAAATTAGTGAGCAACCCCTTGGAGATGGGTGGATCCTGCTTGATCAATCTAGGTATGGGAACAGGGTCAAAGTTTCTGTAAAGTTCTGAGAATAAACTAAGGTGCACACATCCTCACCTTAGGTACAGTTTCTGTTGGGCCATGAGGACGTTCTAAAGTCAGCCCATTCTTACCTGAAGCTGAGTTTTCGTAGGGTTTCTAGGATGGCCTTTATCCTTACCTTAGACTGAGTTTCTGTAACGCTCCTAGGATGGCCTTTATCCTTACCTTAGACTAAGTTTCTGTAAGGCTCCGAGAACATTCTCTCTTGTGATAGAATCTTTTTCCTCTGATCTCAGCGTCTCAATCATGTGACCCAGAAGACTGGAGCTGGTGGATAAGTATGTTCGCCCTGTAAGAAAAATTTTAAAGTGAAATAAATTTTCAATTCTGTAAAAATCACAATCCTCACTGAAAACAAAAAGGCAATTCTTCATCCCAAGAAATAAAAACTAAAAATAGTAAAATGAAAAAAAATATGATTAAGTTAATATCAAAAGAATAAAACACACAATGGAATATAAATTATCAGATTAGATCTAATGATTTAAGCAGACAGGGGTCAGGAAGGGGGACCAGAGGGAAGGGCTGTGAAGAGGGGGGTATATATCTGTCCAGGGCGATGTATAGGACAACTGAATCTATGTATACTCCTGAGAGAGAGAGAGAGAGAGAGGGGGGGGAGAGAGAGGGGG